TTATTAAATTAATGTAAAAAATGAATACATTTTCTTCCTTTGTGTCTGTTTCTCAGGGCCCTCCGGGACCTCCTGGTCCACCTGGACCTCCAGGAAGAATTCATGGACTTAGTGGAGTAAGTATGACCAGGAGATGCTTAAAGCATGTAATAAATTTAGGTTACTTATAGTTTTAAACAAGGCTAAACATGGTGTGCCAGTGCATTTTGTATTTTTCGACTGGGTCACTGCAGAAATTTGTCAGTTTCCCCAAATCCCCTGTTTGTTTATTTATTTATTTATTTATTTATTTATTTATTTATTTATTTTTGTATCAGCAGCTCCAAAGAATGATGCTGCCACCACTGTGTTTGACAGTAGGGCTGGCTTTAAATAGGTCATAGTTTCCCTTGAAATCCTTCCGTTTTTATTCCATTGGAAGAATTATTGGACTTTTACAGCAAAAATATGTCTGASTACTTTGGTGCAAATTGTAAAAGCCTAAATAAATCTGAAGCACATCAGATGGGTTTTAAAAATAAAAATGCAAACAACTAAAATGAATCATAATTTTTTTTTGTACACAGCTTTGTAGTATTTAGATCAGTTTATTTTACTGGCAGGTTTGTGTAYATTTTTGATGCTAGATATCTGTGATTTTAAGTCAGTAAAATTACCACTCTGACAATATAAAACCAGGTTATTAAACATAACATAGGTAATGCATATTTAAATGTACAGAGTCAATAGATGAGTTGTGTCACCATGATTATGCATTTGCAGTCAAAGTGGTGTACGGTTACTGGTGTTCCGTATTTAGCACTGCAAGCCATTTGGAAGCCTCCCTTTTTTTATTAACTTCATCTGACTCCGCTGCTTTTCTTTGAATCTCCAAGACGGTGTTCCCGGTGCGCCCCCGACCGCACTGCAAAAAGGGACGAGTAAGTCTGAGTCGGACCGTCTGAATGGTCTCGTTCAGTTGGAAATGGGACCATCGGGTGGTTCTGGTGGTGTGTGGGTTTCCCAGCATGACACCTCTCTGATCTATCCTACAAACAATACCCATTCCTTCTTTACTGTATCCCCCCTCCCAACTCTTCATTTTCTCCTCCTGCTSTCCTGACAGTCTGGGGATACACAAATCATCAGGCTTTAACATTTGTCTTGTGAAGATGCTATACCTAACAATAATGCTTTTTATTTACTGATTTCATAAATGTTAGGGTTTATCAGTGAAAGTACAGTAGTCTACAGTACATGAGGGATTATTTGATCATTAAATCCAGTTTGACTACTCAAGACAAATGTTAACGTGTTCAAAAGGTCTCTGACTCTGAATCCCTGATTGACTTGTTCARTCTTCTTCTCCTCATGAGCTCATGGATGAGGAATCTGGGTGAACCCCTAGCAGAAAACAAGATATTGTCTCTCTAGCTCGTGTAAATCAGAGCTGGCTCCTGCTCACTAGTTTTTTTTATATCTATAACTTTATCAACAAAAATGAAAATGTATGGTGTCCCTTTCTTATTTTTAAAAATTAGACGTGTGATAATATTTTTGATTGTTTTATGAGATAACTCCATCTCTGATTGACATGTTGCTGTGTAGAGAAGCGAGGTTCCCCAAAAGGCCTTTCTTTCGTGATGCTGGGTGTGTGGGTTCTGATTTATAACTACAAAGACAAAAAAAAGAAAAAGCATCCAAAACTTGTTTGTTAGCATGAAGGCACTAAATAAAAGAGCTGTGCTGATGCACACTGTTAAGTCAAAAACAAACAAACCAATAAAACGTTTTTTATTCTGTTTATTTTTATTATTCTACATTCCTGCTTTACAGTAATGTATTTCCACCAGTAAAGTGTCCAATCACATGGTGAAATAATAACATTACAACAGTGAATGAATGAATATTAATGAAATTTAACAAAAAAATGAGTTTCAGYGTAAAAAGGACCTTCTAAGTGAAATTCTTGTGTAGATCATTTCAATATCCAACAAAGTTGAGTCAGTTCCTTGGGACGGGTTTTTTTTAAACATTCCATTTCATTTTCCTATGAATCAATATTAACAAATTCGTGAAACAAAACATTCTTACCAAGTTATTTAAGACAAACTGTTTTGTTAAATTGTTGTTAAATCTTTCTGCTGTGTTTAACCTCATTAACTGAGCATGTATTCCTCATATTTAACCGAAATTGTTGCGGAGCTCCCACCCCAATTTTTTTTAACAATTCTTAAAGAGGGGGTATTATGTATTTGCAGGCACACAGTTCATTTCTATAACACAATCAAGTAATTATGTTACCTTCAGTTGTCATAAAAATGCTCTAAATATCAAAAACGCMTTTGATTTTGCATCATAGCCTATCTAAACACCTTGAAATTGGCCTGTTTCTTTAAAGGTATCATATCATGCTTGTAAATCCTTCTTTTTCACGTCTAAATCATTCACTTATGGTCTATTTAAAATGTCTTAATTCCTCGTTTTTGTTGCTCCACAGACTCCTTGCTTTCCTTGCTTTACCCCTGTTCTGAGTTGCGCCTCAGAGCAAGCTGTTTTGGTGYGGTCTCTTTAAATACAAATGAGATATTTCACACCCCGCCCCCTCCAGGTCGCTGAGCGTTCGACTCCACCCCCTTCAGCCATGTTTGTAGTTTCATAGCAACAACACAGTTATCTATCGACTAAAAACTGTTTCCAACACTCCCACTTCAACGCATCTTCACAACAATGCTTCATGCTATCTAAAACCTTTTGTGGAAGCGGTGCATTATATTGTAAAAAAAAAAAAAAAAGAAGCAAAATTTTAAATAGCGACTCAGGTTACAGTTGAATCTTACGTCAGACTTCGAAAGTAGGTTTTCTGAAGTACTGATGCGAGTACAGAGGCCCTCACAGGACATTTCAGCTTGGCAACATAACTCCCTGTCATCCATCCATACATACAGTACAGTATATGTAAATGTTAAGCTACTTATGGCAGAGAAACTAGATCTTTTTGTAATTAAATCATGAACGTCCACTGTTTTTAAGATACATTTTGCAGTGAAGTCATATTGATTAAAGAAATATGTCTCCTGCCGCTGGTGGAGCTGTGTGGYGGAGGAGTGCCCTGTGGGGCAAGAGCTCACCCGAGGACTGGGATTCAGGGAGGAGCTTTGTGTAAGTAGGCAGTGCTTTGTACCAGCAAGCATTTAGGCAGTTCCACATGGCTACCTCTAGCCTGGTTAAAACCAGCCCCTTGTCCTTTGCTTTGCTTCATACGCTGGAGGCGTGGCCTCTGTTGAAGTTCAAAACTATTGGATCAGTTGGCTGTAACGTGTGTACATCGGCTCCACTGTGAAGGAGGCTAAGCTAAGAAGCTAACCGGAAATTGCGTGTGCTGTAAACAACCCTACYGAGAGGAGAGAAKTACYGAGTYGAACGAGACGRCTGTAAATGAGAGCTGCTGCTTTGTCAGACAAATTTAWTTTAATTTGGAAGCYTTATCAACACAGACTGGCTTYATTCRCTTCCTCCACTGCCGTATGCTAAACTAACTAGCAGACACTGYGCAGGAAATTGACATCRTTCAAAACTCGGCYTTCTGTTTGCTGAYTGGCCTGAACTAAATTCTCCTGAAGAAATCCTTGTCTATGGAAGAAATMTCAGACGGAGCAGTGRAGGGAAACTAGAATTGAGTAGAACTGTKTARGAAGGCAAGGGCCAGGCTAGGTTACCACAGGAGATTCAAGGATTWCTCAATGCTTGAATGAGTCAAAGCAACACTCTGGGTATGTTTTTAATGAGAAAATGACGATATAATATTAGATGAAGCTCRAAACTGTTGATTTTGCATAATAYCCCCRCCCACYCCCTTAAATCAAGACATCTGTAAGACACCTGTTAGTTGTGTATGTATCCAACTTGTGACATCAGGTTAATAGTGTGTGTGTGTGTGTGTGTGTGTGTGTGTGTGTGTGTG